CACAGAGGAAGCCACTGCTGTCCAAACAAAACATTGCTGCACAAGAGCACCTGGATGTTCCACAGCAGTACTGGCAAAATATTCTGTGGACAGATGAAACCAAGGTTGAGTTGTTTGGAAGAAACACACAACACTACGTGTGGCGAAAAAAAGGCACAGCACACCAACATCAAAACGTCATCCCAACTGTGAAGGGTATGCAAACGTTTGAGCACAACAGTATCTGCAATCAACAAGCTACTTAACTCCACACAAAAAGGAGCAAAAATATTAAGAAATAAACCTTTTTATCACAAGATTTAACTTCACTGTCTTAAGGTGAACTATTAATAAAGCCATTGTTCTGCTCTGCTATGCTTTAATATTGAAGGAAGGTGATGCAGTAGAATTTCTTTATAAAATAAACATGCCCTTGAATAAAAGACAGTTATGCTAGATGTTGGATGCGGTAATGGAAGTCTACAAAAAATTTGGTTTTGTAGAGCAACAATTGTTACTAAATGTAGACATAGAAAAAAGCTTGGAATGCCATTAGTTACAGCACTACTGCACCTACGAAGGATAAAAACAAATAGTGTCTTTTATTATAATGTTATGTGACCATGAGAAGAGTTTTCTGACAATCTGAGGATCTTGAATAAAGTACCTGAACTGAGGGACATCATGCTAGAAATGTTGTTTACCTTCTATTTAAAGGGAGTTCAGAAATAACAGCTTTACTCTAATAATAAATTCAGCAATAATTAATCCATCCTAGACTGGGCACAGGATATATAAATCTGTCTGTCTGTCTGTGTGTCTCTCTATAGAGAGAGAGAGGTGTATATATATATATATATATATATATATATATATATACACACACATACATATATTTTATTTTTTAATAGACACTATGGATCATTGTTTCTAAAATGTGTCTTTATGCGGCCACCAAGTGTGAAGAGTTCCAGAATTTTCCAGTTCTAGACTTTAGGGATATTCATAAAACCTAAATCAGCACTAAACCTGGTTCAGTACTATAAAAGTAAAACTAAATTGCATTATAACTGTATAATCAGTCATGACAATGGGATTGAAACGTAATTGTAATCAACATTAAAAGGTTTAATGCAAAATAAAAACACAACCAGAATAAAAAAAACAAAAAAAAAACAAACTGTGGAAATATTTAGGAAGATCTACAGCTTCATTAAAGGGACACTATAGGCATTCAGACCATTTCAGGTCATTAAAATGGTCTGGATGAACTGTCCCTGTCCCCCTTAGTCCTGCAATGTGAAACATTGCAGTTTTTGAGAAATGGCAATGTTTACATTGCAGGACTAAGAAAGCCTCTACTGGTAGTGATGTACCGAACGGTTCGCCGGCGAACGGTTCCCGGCGAACATAGCATGTTCGCGTTCGCCACGGCGGGCGAACATATGCGCGGTTCGACCCGCCCCCTATTCGTCATCATTGAGTAAACTTTGACCCTGTACCTCACAGTCAGCAGACACATTCCAGCCAATTAGCAGCACAGCCTCCCTAGCAGACCCTCCCACCTACTGGACAGCATCCATTTTAGATTCATTCTCAAGCTGCATGCTTAGTAAGAGGAGGGAAAGTGTAGCTGCTGTTCATAAGATAGGGAAAAGCATAGCTAGGTTAGGGATAAGGGTATGCTTTTTTTTTATTTATTTTTTCTATGTAATGTAAATGCACTTAGTTGTCTGCCACTGCTGCCAGCTTCTGTGTCAGGCTCACAGTGCATACTGTGCCCATTTCCCCAGTCAGTGCCACCACTTACATCTGGTGTCACAATAGCTTGGATTTAAAAACAAAAAACTTTTTTCACTGTTATAGATTGAATAGCAGTCAGTTGTCTGCCACTGCTGCCAGCTTCTGTGTCAGGCTCACAGTGCATACTGTGCCCATTTCCCCAGTCAGTGCCACCAATACATCTGGTGTCACAATAGCTTGGATTTAAAAACAAAAAACTTTTTTCACTGTTATAGATTGAATAGCAGTCAGTTGTCTGCCACTGCTGCCAGCTTCTGTGTCAGGCTCACAGTGCATACTGTGCCCATTTCCCCAGTCAGTGCCACCACTTACATCTGGTGTCACAATAGCTTGGATTTAAAAAAAAAA